AGGATTGTGGGCAAGGGTGACAGTGCTCAAGTTGTCACACAGAATTCTAGGAACCTGAGATGGACAGTTAAGTTCTTTGAGTGAGGATTGAATCCAAAGAAGCTCAGCAGCCAACTGAGCCATGCTACGATACTCTGCTTCAGCACTGGATCTAGCAACAAGTTGCTGCTTCTTTGACCACCATGACACAACATTAGGACCAAGATAGATACAGGCCCCAGAGGTGGACCTCCTATCATCAGGGTCTGATGCCCAATCAGCATTACAGAACCCTAACAATTGCATAGGCTGCTGAACAGAAGCAGGTTGGATGAGCAAACCGTGATGGAGAGTGCCACTTAGGTATCTTAGGATTCTCTTGACAGCCTTCCAATGGTCCTCTAAAGGGTTGGACAGAAACTGACAAACCTTGTTGACAGAAAACGAAATCTCAGGCCTAGTAAAAGTAGCATATTGTAGGGCACCAATAATATATCTGAACTGGGTGGGATCTTCCACAGCAGTTGATCCTACTTTGGACAGCTTGCTACTAGAAACCATGGGAGTAAGCATGCTATTAGCATTTTCCATATTCAATTTAGACAGTAGGTCAGTGATATATTTGGTCTGAGATAGGAGCAGTGAGCCATTGGGAAGATGAGACACTTCAATGGCCAAGAAGTAATCAAGCTGTCCCAACTGTTTTAGTGAGAATCTGTCATTAAGCAGCTTGATTAAGGTTGTGATAAAAGAAACAGAATTGCATGTGATGATTATATCATCTACATACACTAGAATCATAATCTGAAGCTTCCCTTGACTCAGCAGAAAGAGACTAGGATCACACCTGCTGGCCGTAAATCCAAGCTGAAATAGAGCATTCTTAAGTTTGTCAAACCAGGCCCTAGGAGCCTGTTTTAAACCATAAATAGCCCTATTTAATTTGCAAACCAGCGACTTGTCAGCTACTTCAAAGCCAGGAGGCTGCTGCATAAATACCTCCTCTTCAAGAGTGCCATTAAGGAAGGCATTGTTAACATCTATTTGTTGTATGGTCCACTTGTTACTGACAGCAATAGTTAACACAATTCTAACAGTAACTGGTTTGATGACTGGTGAGAAGGTCTCCTGAAAATTACTTCCAGCCTTTTGATGGAAGCCTTACTGTTAACGGCGGCGACAATGGAGTCATACTCCTCAGGAAGCGACTCAAGTACGATTTCAATTAGGTTACGAAGAGGAACAGGATCCCCAATCGAAACGAGAGATTCACTAATTTCACGTGTGCGAACCATGAGCTCCTCAATTGTCATCGTGCCTTTCTGAAGACGACGAAGCTCCGAGCGTAGTTGGCGTGCTTTCGTGGAGAGAAGAGTGTTGAAATAACGGTGAACTTCCGTCCAAACTTGCCACGCGTGTTTACACTCAACAAGCTTTGGAAGCAGAGGATCGGAGATGGTGGAGAGAAGCCAGGTGCAAATCAGAGCATCCTGTTGCTCCCAATCAAGAAACGCACTGTGAGATGCAGGATCTGAAGGAGACGACGGCGGAATGACCGGAACGGTAACAAACCGTTGAAGACGATGACCGCGAACAACACCGTCGATCTGTTGCTTCCATTGTTTGAAATTTTTGTCGTCGAGTTTTACAGAGATAAGGTGAGAAAGCTTCACCTGAGAAGACGAAAATAGAGGCTCCATGGATCGAGAAAAAAAAAGAGAAAAAAATTGCTCAAGATACCATGATAGAATCTTGTAGAATTGAGAGAATAGAAAGAATGATGTAAACTCTCATTCTATTGAATTACCTTCTAATACAAGAGAGTGCTCTCTATATATTGAGAGAGAGTAGTAACAAACTCTGTTATAACAGTAGTAACTAACTCTGTTATAACAACTTAACTAACTCTGTTATAACAACCTCACAGTATATTGATAGAATATAAATGCTACTCTATTATAAAGCAACCTGCATGAAATCAGAATATAAATTAAAGCCAAATATTTTACTCTTGTGAAAATTAACCTATAGGTCTGAAGCAATTTCGAACCCTCGAAGAACTAATTTAATTTCCCAAAGGTTTTCCCAGGAAGCCTTGCCCAATAAGATTGTATCGTCCACAAACGGTAATAAGTTAAAATAAATTTTATTCAAAAGTGTGAACAAATGAAAGCAATCTAATGAACAAGCATTATGCATTAGTCCAACAAGACCCTATGCAATAATGAGGTAGAGAAAAGGTGAAAGAGGGTCACCTTGATGCAACCCTCTCTTGGCTTGAAATTCCCTGGATGGACTTCCATTAATCAAAATTGAGATAAAGTTAGAACACACACAAGCTCGCATCCAGTTGATCCATTTATTCCTGTAATTCATGCTCTTAGTAACAAAGAAAATGTATTCCCAAGATACCGAGTCAAATGCCTTTTCAAAATCGACCTTGAAGATGAACAATTCCTTCTTATTCCTTTTAGAGAAATCGACCAGATCGTTAACCACAATAACGCCCTCAAGCACGCTTCTACCTGAGATGAATATTGATTGAGACTTACAGATGTGTTTCCCCATTACTCCTTTCAATCTTTCTGCTAATAACTTGGAGATACTTTTGTAGAAGCTTGAGATCAAGAAAATAAGCCAATAATCACTCATTTCTTGAGGGTTGTGACTTTTAGGAGTCAACACCAAAAAAGAGGATGATCTTGCCTTTGGTAGGTGACCCTGCAAAAAAAAATCAGAAACACATTCAAATAAATCATCCTTGATAATATCCTAGCAGACCTTGTAAAACTCCATATTGAACTTGTCGAGCCCTGGGCGTTTATTGCTTGTGATTTCCAACTTACTTCCTTTAAATCCATATTGGTTATGGGATTTTCAAGCTCAAAACTTTCAGTTTCAAAAATCTCCTTGAATGAGACTCCTTCCAACTTAGGTCGGCTAAACTAAGGCTCTAAGAATCTCTCTTTGAAGTGTTTAACATCTAAGTCTTTAATGCCCTTCAAGTCTCAACAAGAGTATCACCATATTTAAAAGAACTTATACCATTTTTCCTTAAATGGGTTTGAAGAAAGAGTAGAAGAATCTGGAGTTCCTATTCCCATCTGGAATCCACTTGCAAAGAGCTTTTTGCTTTAACATGGAATTCATATACTAAAGATTTTGCCACATATGCTTTTTGGTTTCCCATATTTCTGCAAATATATCTTCACTAACATCAACATCTTCCTCTGCCACTGATTGGTCTAGTTTGTTAAGCTCCTTAAAAGCATTCTTCACGCCCAAGTCAATTTTACCAAAAATCTCAATATTCTAGATTTTTAGTTATTCAAAACCTTTAATTTTTCTTTAAAGACAAACATTTTTCCTAACAAAATAAGAAGATCTTCAAGCGTGTTCCACAAATTTGATGAACTCCGAATGAAGAACCCGTGCAGAATAGGGGCTTAGGGCCCCAGTTCAAGTTATTGGATTTTAGAGAAATTGGCAATGATCTAAAATTTCTCTCCTATCAATAACTCACCCTTTGAGTGTCCTTTCATCTAGATATCAAGAAATCAACGTTGTTTCCATCTAGAAGACCAAAGTCATTCCCAAATGAGTTTGCTACTTGCTCCTCATCCTCGTCATCTTCTTTCCAATCGCTATGAAGATCACTTAAACTTTTGCTAGAGACATTTGACGCATGAGAAGAAGATGGTAGTTGAATTCTCATGGGGGGCTTATGCACCTTTGACGCAACTAATGATAAAGGGAAAACCATTAATCAACGCTTCAACATCCTCAAATATAACCTTTGAGTGTTTAGTTCTAAATAGAATGCAAACAACACCCATTTTTAAGAACGTTCTAGTGGTATCATACGCACAAATATACTTCCCCTTTGGCTTACTAGGGATTCAAAGAACTTTGATTTCCACACATGTATAAAAATACTTTAGCATATGATCCACATAACATAACTCTTTTATCATCAACATTTGTAGATCTCTAAAGATGAACTTTTTTGAGCCAATGTTTCAACTAGTCTTTTCCGTCCGTAATCAGATTTTGCATTTTGTCTTCGACTCTATCTTCTAGCAAACAAATGTTAGCTCTGAGTAGTGTGACATAAATGGAGAGCATTTCTTGCATATTATAAGTCATCCCAAGGTTTTCAGCAAATCAAACATGGGCCTTGTTGAATAATCTAAGTTCAAGATACGAGTTGACCTGAGATGAAAAGTCTTGTTTAATCCTGTTTATAAAGAGGAAAAAGCTTTTCTCTCTAACATTTTCTTTCAATATTAAGATAGCCTTAAATAACTTTATTATTAGTATCAGAAGGTTAGGGAGAGATAATTTCTTTCATATCTATTATTTGAAATAAATCAAAATATTATTGATAAAGTTAACTAATCATATGAAAATAATAAATTAAAAATTATAAAAAAAGCGAATAAGTAAGGGTATTTTAAAAAGAAAATAATAAATATATTGTAAAATAATTTATAATTTAATATACTTTAAAAAATAACTTATAATAAAAAATAAGATAGTAATAAACTTTTAGTTAATTTTTTTTTATTTTTATTTTTTTCCGTCAATAATATACATATAGGCAAACTAAAGAGAATTACTATTAACGGAATATAATTTACTCTGACAACAGTCAAATAAATTAATCTAAAAACCCCAAAAGGAAAACTAAAAAAATTGCTGAGTTTAATTTCTAACACAAGTCAATTTTCCTCTCCAAGAGTAAAAACTCACAATCGGCGCTTTTTTAACTTTAAAAAATGACTTTTCATGACCCGCGTTTGGAGGTGCTATAACGTGGCAATAAGCAACGAAAGAGCGTGCGTGGTACTAATAAAAAGCTAAAATACAGAAGCTAAAAGCTCGTGATTCGATGACACATCATTTTTTTCTTCAACACTAGTAAGAGTACAGTGTACAATACAAACACCACCTCTATTACAGAGAGAAGAGGCACAAACACACATATAAACCAAAGCTCGTGAGTGAGAGAGATTCCAATTATGGCTTCCACGACAATGCGGTTGCATCCAAATTCCACCGCCGTAACCGAATCCGTTCCTCGCCGGAGCTCCATTTCCGGATTCATCGGTTACAGATCCTCGTCGTTGTTCATCCGAACAAGCCTCGTCAAGTATCGTTCTCTTGAGCATAATCTGAATCTTAGGAGAAGAAGAAGCGTTTTCTCTGTGAAGTGTGTGTCTGGTAATGAAGCTAAGCAGAAAGTCAAGGATCAGGAAGTTCAACGAGGTTTGAGTTATATGATTTTTCTTCAGTGACGTGAATTTGTGATGTTATGAAGTAGCTTAGGTTTTAAATCTGTGATCTGAAGTTGTTTAATTCAGTTGCGGCGTTGGAATCAATTTCAAATTTAGAAGCATTTTGTTGTGTACTAGTAGGAAAGCTTTGCAGTATGATTTTCTTTAGTGTCATTTTTGTTGTGTATTTGTGATGATGAAAGCTTAGCTTAGGTATTGAGTATTTGAATTTGTGATCTGAATTTGCTTCACTTCGGTTGCGGCATTGAAATCAAGTTCAAATTTAGAAACGTTTTATTAGTAGAAAAGCTTTGCTCTATGGATTTTTTTTCGGCGTCGGTTTTTGTTGTGAATTTGTGATGCTATTTGCTAGCTTAGGTTTTGAATTTGTGATCTGGATTTGCTTACTCCGATTGTGGCATTGAAAATAAGTTCAAGTTTTGAAACATTTTATTGGTTGAAAAGTTTTGTTCTATGATTTTTTCTTCAATGTCAATTTTTGTTGCGAATTAATGATGCTATAAGCTTGCTTAGGTTTAGGATTTTTTTTTTCTCTGAATTTGCCTCACTTCAGTTGTGGCATTGAAATTAAGTTCAAATTTAGAAACGTTTTTGTAGGAGAAAAGCATTGTTCTATGATTTTTCTTTCTTGGCGTTTTTTGTTGTGAATTTGTGGTGCTATAAGCTAGCTTATGTTTTGAATTTGTGATCTGAATTTTCCTCATTTCAGTTGTGGCATTGAAATTAAGTTCTAATTTAGAAACATTTTTTCAGTAGAAGAACCTTGCTCTTTGATTTTTCTTTGGTGTCAGTTTTTTGTTTTGACTATGTGATGCTATAAGCTAGCTTAGGTTTTGAATTAGTGATCTGAATTTTCACTTCAGTTGCGCATTGAAATTAAGTTGAAATTTAGAAACATTTTATTAGTAGGAAAGTTTTGCTCTATGATTTTTCTTCAGTTTCATTTTTTTTTTTGGTTTGGAATTTGTGATGCTAAAAGCTAGCTTGTGTTTTGAATTTGTGATCTGAATTTACTTTGTTACACCTGTGCCATTGAATTAATTTCAAATTTAGAATCATTTAATTAGTAAGAAATATTTGCTTTGTGATTGCGTGTGTACTTTTTTGGTTCTTTTTCGTTAATTGTTATTTCCTTCAGCGTCATGCTTTATTGTGATGTTATGAGCTAGTTATGAGTTAATTTTTGGCTTAGTGTACTGAATTTGCTCATTTCAGTTTCGGAAAATTGAAATCAAATTGAAAATTTGAAACATTTTATTAGTAGAAAAGTTTTGCTCTATGATTTTTCTTCTTTTTCATTTTTTTGTTGTGAATTTGCGATGCTCTAATCTAACTTATGTTTTGAATTTATGATCTGAATTGGATTACTTCAATTGCAGCATTTATATCTTTTTGAGTAAAACAAAGCTGCGCATTAAAATCAGGTTTAAATTTGAAACATTTTATTAGGAGAAAATCTTTGCTCTGTGTGTACTGTTGTGCTTTTCTTTCTTCTTTTTTGTTTATTTTTTCTTTAGTATCATGCTTTTTAGTGATGCGATCAGTTATCAATTATTTTTATTTTGTTTCAGCTTTGTTGTTTTATTTCCAGCATAGGAATCATGTCCAGTTTTTTAAAATGATAATAATTGGGGAATGGGAAATTAATTAAGTGACACTAATGATCATTTTACAGTTCTTTCTTGAAATCTGTCCCTTAAAGTTACAAGGTCAAATTTTTACCAGGAAGCTACAGCTTATGTAATTAAGTTCAAATTTAGATTACCTTCAAAAAGGAAGATATTTTTTGTCTATTACCTTGTTGATCTTAAGTTTTTGGCATTGCTACTGACCAGTTATCTAGCATCCAATGTCATTGCAATCTAATTAATAATATCTGTTGATCATGCTTTACATAGATGCAATCAGTTATCTATTTTATTTTTTATTTTGTTTCAGTTTTGTTGTTTTATTCTCAGCATAGTAACCAAGTTCATTTTAAAAAAAATAATAATAATTGGGGGACAGGAAATTAATTGTGACACTAATGATTATTTTACAATTCTTTCATGAAATCCGTCCCTTAATGTTATAAGGTCAAAGTCTTACTAGGAAGCTACACCTCATGGAATTAAGTTCAAATTTAGATTACCTTCAAAAAGGAAGGAATTTTTGGCCTATTACATTGTTTTTTTTTATTTTTAATTTTTTAATAATGCGGTCTATTACCTTGTTGATCATAAGTTTTTGGCATTGTTACTAACCAGGTATCTAGCATCCAACACCATTGCATTCTAATTAATAATATATGTTTATTGTTTGTTTTAGAAGCTACAACCTCTCAGAGCGCATTTGCACCAGATACTACCTCCATTGTGTCAAGTATTAAGTATCATGCAGAGTTCACACCACTGTTTTCTCCGGAGAAATTCGAGCTTCCACAAGCTTTCATTGCAACTGCTCAGAGTGTTCGTGATGCTCTCATAATAAATTGGAATGCTACTTATGATTACTATGAGAAGCTGAATGTTAAGCAGGCATATTACCTTTCAATGGAATTTTTACAGGTTGGGCGCTACCTTAATGATTTGACCACCTTGGAACATTACTGGCATCTAAGACTTACTTCCATCTATTGTTCTATCTTGCAGGGTAGAGCATTATTGAATGCAATTGGCAATTTAGAGCTAACTGGTCCCTATGCAGAGGCTTTGAGCCAGCTTAGTTATAAATTAGAAGATGTGGCACACCAGGTACGCCATCTCCAATTGTATATCTTTTTTATTCTAGAATGTGGTGTACTTTACTGCTCTAATGAGTAACTGTTTATTTAACTAGATCCCATAAGTCAATATTTCAATTTAAGACCACTTCGGATAACAAACTAATGTTTCTTTTTACATGAATATTGTAATTGAAAAAGGACTTAATTTGTTCTAATAGCATATATACTAATTCAACAATTGAGAGATTCAACTCATGTACTTGGGATTCTTATTGAGTTGCTTTTTTTCTTCTACATTTAATTTTTCAAAATATTGCTAGTTTACAATACAATTTTCTTTCTCTTGTAATTCATTTTGGCCTGGCTATAATAGGAGCCGGATGCTGCACTCGGAAATGGGGGTCTTGGACGCCTTGCTTCATGTTTCTTGGACTCGTTGGCAACCTTGAATTATCCAGCATGGGGTTATGGACTGAGATACAAGTATGGCTTATTCAAACAACGAATCACCAAAGATGGGCAAGAGGAAGTTGCTGAAGATTGGCTTGAGGTATGTTTCACTATTTCGTGATGACTAGTGTTCATGGCTTCATGCCATGCACTTAAAATTATAATTTTGCATTTGGTCTACTAGCTCTATTAATACTTTATTTTTTTACTTGTGGTCTATTCTAACAGATGGGCAATCCTTGGGAGATCATTAGAAATGATATCTCATACCCTGTAAAGTTCTATGGCAAAGTTGTTTCAGGTTCAGATGGTAAAAAACATTGGGTTGGAGGAGAAGATATCAAAGCTGTTGCACACGATGTCCCCATACCTGGATATAAGACCAGAAGCACAATTAACCTGAGACTTTGGTCTACAAAAGCTGCATCCGAAGAATTTGATTTAAATGCTTTTAATTCTGGAAGGCACACTGAAGCATCTGAGGCTCTAGCAAATGCTGAAAAGGTTTGGATGATATGATTCTTTTAGAAAATTGTAGAAGATTTTGAGTTTTAGAGAAGTAACCAATTCAATATGAATGATGATATTAGAACAAGTTTTAAAGAATCAAATCTTCATTAGACTTTTGATTGCGTAATGTGTATCTTTTTATAGTTTTGTAGCAGTAGCTGTTGAAAAATATCTAAGTGACATCTGATGATATGTGGAGGTTTTCTAGATAATCTTACTAACACTATGCTGTGAGTACGACTTGATAAAACTTAAAAAGGACATTTTATATGGTAATTTGCCCCCTCAAATGCAGATTTGCTATATACTCTACCCTGGGGATGAATCTATAGAGGGAAAAACCCTTCGCCTCAAGCAACAATATACTTTATGTTCTGCTTCTCTTCAAGATATCATTGCTCGTTTTGAGAGAAGATCAGGGACAAGTGTGAATTGGGAAAAATTTCCTGAAAAGGTTGCAGTGCAGATGAATGATACTCACCCAACTTTGTGCATCCCAGAGCTGATGAGAATCCTGATAGATATAAAGGGTTTAAGTTGGAAGGATGCTTGGAATATCACCCAACGGTATCTAGTGTTTATTTGTTTTTGTTTATATTAATTTTGTTTTGTTTTTTTTGGGTGGGGGTGGGGGTAAGTAGTCTAGTCATCTCATGTTTATATTGATCTGAGTTTGTTGATGGAATATGTACTATATGCCACTGTGATCCAGGACTGTAGCGTACACAAACCATACTGTTCTTCCGGAGGCATTAGAGAAATGGAGCATGGACCTCATGGAGAAACTGCTTCCACGCCATGTCGAGATTATAGAGATGATTGATGAGGAGGTAATACCAATTTTTTTTCTTCCTAAACTCTTCTATTTCAGGTAAAGGAATTGAGTTATTGCTGATATTCATGTTTGGCAGCTGATTCGGACCATAATCGCAGAATATGGCACAGCAGATTCCGACTTACTTGATAAGAAATTGAAGGAAATGAGAATACTAGAAAATGTTGAATTGCCTGCAGAATTTGCTGATATACTAGTTAAAACCAAGGAGGCCACTGATATTTCTAGTGAGGAAGTGCAAATTTCTAAAGAAGAAGGAGGAGAAGAAGAAGAAAAAGAAGGAGGAGGAAAAGAAGAAGACAGTAATGAAGATGAAGCGGAAAAAGCAATTGCTGAAAAGGATGGGACGGATAAAAGCTCCATTGAGGATAAGAAAAAGGAGTTGCCTGAGCCAGTACCAGTACCGCCAAAATTGGTTCGTATGGCCAATCTTTGTGTTGTGGGTGGTCATGCAGTGAATGGGGTTGCAGAGATACATAGTGAAATTGTCAAGGATGATGTGTTCAATGCATTTTATAAGGTAAGTATTTCATTGGAAAATGTGACACAGTCCTTCAATTGAGTGATGTTTTTAATTCTATATCTACAGTGGTTTTTTTTTCTCCCCTCTCTATTGAAACAATCAAATAGCACTTAGCATTCAGCTCTTGTCTTTGACAAAATCCGGGGGGATTAAGAATGCCAAAAAGACATAATAATAGGCATATAGGATGTGTATATTTCTGCATTTCCTCCATATTTATGTGATTACAGTACATGTGTGGTAATTTAAAACAAATATAATGAAACTTAGTACAATACTTGTGTTATATGTGTAGTAATGAAGCGAGTGAGCCTTTAAAATTAAAAGTATATATTCCTTTCCTTCTTTATATATATGACAAGATCCAGGAAAATCATTTTTATCACTGACATGTGTGCCATATCTCTTACAGTTGTGGCCCGAGAAATTCCAAAACAAAACAAATGGTGTGACGCCGAGGAGATGGATTAGGTTCTGCAATCCAGATTTGAGTAAAATAATAACTCAGTGGATAGGCACAGAAGATTGGGTCCTAAATACTGAGAAACTGGCTGAACTGCGGAAGGTAATTACCATTACTTAATGGTTGGTCTTGTTTTTTTTACATATTTTTCATTTTTTCTTTTTATGCAATCTTTATATGCCTTTTTATGAATGTCAGATTTTGCTGCACCAATTATACTACTAAATGTAATGCGTTTATACACTTTTTTACATATGATTTTCAATTTAGAAATGTTAAGATGTCACTACAAGTTTCCCAAAGTAACCATTAGTAAATATATTAATAATTGCTTCTAGCTAATCTAGAAACTAGTTATCTTGCATTTCCGGTTCCGTTTAAATCAAATGATGTGAATTCTTTCTGGTGATAGTACTATTCAGAGGGTTATGAACATCAGATATTTTGAGTTTAAATCGAATGCCTGCAGATTCCATGATTAGCCCAATTTAATTTTGTATTTAGGTGAACCTGTCAAAGGTGATTTTGAAAGAACTTAACTTTGTAAAATTGAATTTGAAATGAAGTGGTTTTTATTTGGATGTTTTTTCTCAAAATACATATGATATAAAACATTGTGTAAAATTTTCAACCTAATGCAAATGCTATATATTTTTGAGATTAGCACAGTCAGTGTAAAAATTTTTACACCGTCAATTCATCACTATCATGTTTGACAAAGAAAATCAATTTGAATAGTAGTTATAAAATGGTTCAAGAGTCTGGATCATGATTGACCCATATATTTGTCTCAGCCTGGTTGTCAAGTCTCTAAAATCATGCTGACCGTACTAGTATCATTCATTAATAGTTTGCAGATAATGAGGATCTGCAAACACAATGGAGGGAAGCAAAAAGGAATAATAAGGTGAAAGTTGCAGCATTCCTCAAAGAAAGAACAGGATATTCTGTCAGTCCTGATTCAATGTTTGACATCCAGGTATGGTGATGACTTTAGATTTTTCTTTCCTTTTTTTTTTTTTACTGCCGGTTTTGGCTGGGCTACAAGTTTTAAACATGGAATGGAAGTTGAAAACCATTTCTAGGTGAAGGAAAAAATTAGATACATGGATGCCTTGCATTTTTGTATGTGATATCAGAATCAAAGGTTCACCATAAATGTTCATAACTTGAGTAGCATGGATTAAGTTTTATTAGGTATGTTGGTAGACTTTAGGTTTGGTTACTTTGTGCGTATGGTGGAATTAGGTTCGGGTAGGATATGCTTTGCCTTAAGTGGGATAGCCCTATTCTTCTATATCTCTCTCCTCCTAGAGATATATTCCACATGTTATTAACTGATGTTTCAAGGGTCTTTCTTCCCTGCCAAATTTTCTTCTCTTTTGGGCCCTTTCAGTTGTAAGGAAAAGGTCCTACATTAGGCCTTTGAATCAGACAATTGGCATAGTAAATAAATAGGTCAACGGATAATGGCCTTCACCTACCTAGTTAAATAGGCCTTTTAAATGCCTAAGCTTGCTTTATTTGATATTAGGTTTTTTCAACATTAACATAGGGTTGAAGTAGGCTAGCCAATGTTCACCTCACTTTTATTCCGAGTTACTACCTTTTTCTGTACTCTTAACAATAATGTCACTAATGAGTTCAGTTTCTACCCAACCCATTATTTTAATTTAAATGTATAGTTTGTATAGTTTTGATAAACTATTGGCTTAATTGTATTTGTTTAGGTGAAGAGAATCCATGAATATAAACGACAATTATTAAATATATTTGGAATTGTTTATCGCTACAAGAAGATGAAAGAGATGAGTGCTGCTGAAAGAAAAAAAAAATTTGTTCCAAGAGTTTGTATATTTGGGGGAAAAGCATTTGCTACTTATGTGCAAGCCAAAAGAATTGTGAAATTTATTACAGATGTTGGGGCTACTGTAAATCATGATCCTGAAATAGGAGATCTTCTTAAGGTACTTACTTACAATTATGTTATTCAAAAGTTGGTTTTTGTTTTGTCCTAAAGCTCTGAGCCACCTATGTCGTTGTTGAAGTTACGTGAATTATTATTCCTATTCTAGTACGTTACGTGAATTATTATTCCTATTCTAGTACGAACTTTGAGCAAGTTGCTCTTAAAATGTGACTAAAAGATCAGTACTCATTTTTATATAGAAATAATTTTAGTGTACTTCAACATGAATATACTTTTCAGAGGGGAGAAATTCAAAGTTGTTAGACAAATTTGTTAATGATTTATTCTTCATTATTCTCCTTCCAGATGATACTGGTAGCTCAAAATTTTGCTTATAAATGATGCAAAATTGTTCTTTATTTATTTTTTCATATTTAATCAGGTTATTTTTGTCCCTGACTACAATGTTAGTGTTGCGGAGATGCTAATTCCAGCCAGTGAATTGTCACAACATATCAGGTAACCTTTAGCTGCTTTGCATTACTCTTAGGATTGCATGGTTTTGTCGTGCTGACATAAATGATGATATACATTTACTGTTGCTAATCCAAACTTCATCTAATCGACATTTTATTCTTTTTTTGTACTAACAATCATCCTCTACTCAAATTTCGACATGAATGTAAATAGAAAATATTTAGTTAATTGCATCTAATTATCTAATGTCCATGCATGAGTTGGAGATGTTGCTTGAACAAACAAACTGCTGACTATGATTATGTACATGGAGAGTTGAACAACTCACTTAAGATAGATATTTAGAGATAGTATGTGTTTCTACCAACTGTTCAAACATACTACAAATGTATACTAGGTTTGTCAAAGTGACGAGAAGTTTCTGGTATTGGTAATTTGATCATATGAGGCCTCTTCCCACATGAAATACAGCATCCCTTGAAGTACATGTGTTTTTTTTTAAACATGCCAGATAAGCACTGGTTAGTGGTTATTTTCTGGACTGCCTGTAATAAGGTTTCTGTTGCCTATGCGTTGTCCATGCCACATGATTTGTCCCTGAAGGTTTGCATGGCATAAAATGGGTGCTGCTGGTGCAGGGTTGTTGCAATCAAAAGTATTCATGATTCTTTCACGAAAATAACTTCAACCAAGTTGTGTCTCCCAGATTATTGTTGATAGCTAGACATGGCTGCACTTTGACAACGTGAATTATATTGTGTATTTGTTATTTTATTTTTATGGAAAAACAATATTACTGTGCTTTTGTTTTCCTATGAAACTCTGATTTTATGCTGCATTGCCAAATAATGAGTTTCCTGCTTATCGACTGTAGTACTGCTGGAATGGAGGCAAGTGGAACTAGCAACATGAAATTTGCAATGAATGGATGCTTACAGATTGGAACTTTGGATGGGGCCAATGTTGAAATAAGGGAAGAAGTTGGTGCAGACAACTTCTTCCTCTTTGGTGCTAAGGCTCATGAAATTGTTGGGCTCAGGAAAGAAAGAGCAGAGGGAAAGGTATATCTTTATTTCCATGTTGTACATTTTAATTATAACATTATATAGCTAATAACATCCTCGTGATAGCACACCATAATAGAATAAATACTTCAACCCTTGCAGTTTCAAATATTGATAATTTATTGAAAGAAATTGAGTATAGTATTTTTCGCAAGAGTTCTTAATCGTCTTCCGTGTTTGAGGAAATCTTGGTCTTTTCCTATAGAAACATATTATAACCCTGTTATTCTTTTAATTCAGTTTGTCCCTGATCCACGATTCGAAGAAGTTAAAAAATTTGTCAGAAGTGGGGTTTTTGGGTCTTACAACTATGATGAACTGATTGGATCCTTAGAAGGAAATGAAGGTTTTGGTCGAGCAGATTATTTTCTTGTGGCCAAGGACTTCCCTAGCTACTTAGAATGCCAGGAGGAGGTTGACAAAGCTTATCGCGACCAAAAAGTGAGTTTATGCATTTTTTTTTATATTTTGGATGATGTATGATTTTCTTACTCAGTTTTTTTACTACAAATTAACCTCACCTAATACAACAACAATGACGAAGCCTTATTCCACCATATGTTTCATCTTACCTTCTATGGTAAAATAATCTCTATACACCATGAAAGGTGAGGGTGTGGGAGCAAGGTTAAAAATCGTGGCCATGAAAATTTTCCTTTGTTGGTGAATATTTGTTGCACATGCTAATCATAGACTCATAGGTTATTCAAGCAATCATTCATCAATTCCATGTTCATTATAAGCATGTATATTCATGCATCTGATTTGTAATGTATTCACTTAACACATAGTTCAGTCTAGTGCTGTTCCCCGTGCAAAGATATGCCTTGCTAATCTGTACCATTAACAACATAATGGGCTCACATTTTTTGAAGTCCTCTGTGCATCAACTTCCATAGTCGTTTATCAAGCATAGTTGTACAACAGGCTAATTTCTTTTATGTCACTGCTACTGTCATTAACATTCACAAATCATATTTGGGTGCAGAAATGGACAAGAATGTCAATATTGAACACAGCAGGCTCATCCAAGTTCAGCAGTGACCGTACCATTCATGAATATGCACGAGAAATATGGAACATTGAGCCAGTCAAATTGGAGTAGAGGAGGGGTAATCTATACTATACCCTGTTTAATAGCAGAGAATCGGTTCCACGTCGTAATGTGATCACTACTTTGCCAAGTACCCATACTGAAAAATAAACAGAAGTTTTGTAAAACTAAAATAAGGGTCTGGTTTTCCATACTGTAAAATAAACAGAAGTTTTGTAAAATTAAAATAAGGGTCTGGCTTTTGTCCTCGAAAATAAGCCTGCATTCCTGTAATTTATGTATGTATATGTTTATTACTCCCCAGCATTGCGCTGTAAACTTGCTACCGAGTAAATAAACCTGTCAACTACTGTATATTAGTTAAAGACCATGTGTGTTAGTTGTAGACTTTGTTGGGTTTGTTAGAGTAATTGAAAATCACGTAAGTTTGTTATAACTGATTTTCAGTTGGGGACTTTTCTTGGTGTTTAAGTCATATAAATGCCTTTGGCCTTCTAAATAAAATCAGATTAGAATATATAGTGTCCTGTCCTAACAAGTGGTATCATATTAGTTACGCATTTACAAGATTAGAGCGACTCTTTGATCATATTTGAGTGCATTATTGTGGGTGAGAAATACGGGTATTGTGGTACATAGGCGCGTAATGAATTCTCGAGGATTCTTGAAGGTGATTGTTACCATCTCCATTGGTGAAAATTAATCATGGCTAAGCATTCATTCCAAACTATGATCATTGGGTCATGCTTATGGAAATTTTTTTGAGGTCACACGCATGTTGGAGCACTCTGGAGCAAGGTGTCCTTGTTCTTTCTACTGCACCAACAGAAGATCAAAAGAAGTTAGCTTAAAAAAAGTAAACTGCGAGATCTTAAGGTGAAGAGTTATTTGTTTCAATCGATGAGGTAAAACATTAAAACAATTCTTGACAAGAGTTCACCCAAAGCCATTTGGGATTCAATAGTTAAGAAGTATCATAAAGGTGAAAATGACATAATTACACACTCTACGGAGAGTATTTGAGCTTCTTCACATGAAAGAAGATGAATAAGTTGGTGATTACTTTGCAAGAACACTACCAATAGTCAACAAGATGAAAGATCACGGTGAGATCACGGTGAGAAGGTGGATGAATGGATACATAGGTTTGCATCATTGAAATTCAACTATGTTGTCTGTGTAAGAGCAAGATTTGTCTCTACAGGATTATCTCTATGTTTTAATGATAACAATTAAGTATTTGTGAAAGAACCATTTTATGTTCTAATGTTTGTTATGTGCAGATCATGATAATTAAATATATAAGATTAAACAAACAACATCAACGTGTGCAGCTAATACAATATGAGAGTTACTATGTGTGACGTATCATAAAATGCTTATGGGAGAAGCTAGTTTGCTTATGCATCTGATCACGATCAGAGAGATTCAAGGACGCTGGATATTGCAGTTGCAATGCTCCTGTGGATTCTGCTCTGAGAAGTGCATCTGATCTGAAAGCATTTAAAGCATATTGAAGAAGCAAGTATGACTCTGTATCTGATCACAATAAGAAAGATCCAAAGATGTTGTATATTGCAGTTGCAATGCTCTTGTGGATTCTGCTCTAAGAAGTGTATCTGATATGGAAGCTATCAAAGCATCTGAGATATAGTCCTCTGAAGAACCAAGCTCTGAAGACTCTGATGACTTGAAGTTCTGAAGGCTGAAGGCTCTGAAGACCAAGTGCAGAAAGACTCTGAAGACTTAAGGGTTCTGAAGATCAAAACTCTGAAGACTCTGAAGATATAGTCCTCTGAAGAACTACTCTGATGACTTGAAGTTCTGAAGACTGAAGGCTCTGAAGACCAAGTGCAGAAAGACTCTGAAGACGTGTTCTAAAGATCAAGTCTCTGAAGACTCTAAAGACATGATTTATGAAGAATCAGTCACGAAGATTCTCAAGACTATTTCAGAGGAAACTTAGATCTTGGAATGTTGAAGACTGGATTCTGAAGTTGAAGATTGTGTCAGAAGAAGATTCACCGAGACAGAGGCGTATTACTTATCAGATAAGCTGATGCTATTAAATCTGATAAACATGTGCTTAAACAACTCTGATGCTGAAGCTTTCATACCAAAGTAGTTGTTGAACTACTCATCAGATGAATCATCAGAATAACCAAGTCAAGAAGACTACAGTACAACGCATGCAAACATTTCACTATGACAAAGACGTTGGTATTATTCATAAGCGTGGTTTCCAATGTTGAGATATTAAAGTTACAAGCAAAGGTCACTGTTCCAACACGTGAACTTATTCTATCCGTTGGGATATAACCGTTGAAATTAGAGATGACATTTCTACCCTCACAAAGCTGCACTATAAAAGAAGAACATTTGATTCATTCAAATGTTAGCTTTTTGGTAAGCCAGAAAGCCAATTACAAAGTAAGAAACTCATTACACAGCAAGCCAACTTGTTACAAAGCAATGATGCTGACGAGTGAAGTTAGCAAGATAGTTGATTAACAAGAAAAACTTTATGCTAAGAAGCCACAGTGCTCACATAAGAAAGCTTTTAAGAAATATGGAAACTACTGTTCTAATAATCTCATAGTGATTTATCCTTAGATTAGTTTCTGTATTAGGAAGCAAGGAGATGTTGCTCAATACTTGCCTTGTACTTAATTAGGAGTAATCTGCTTGATAAGAAGCAATCATGTAATATCCGGCAACACAAATTCATTTTAGAATTAGTGGTTCCTCAAGTGATCTTGTGAAGATCAGAATACTTGAGATGACAAGTGACAGTTGTCATTTGTGGAAGTCTAATAGGAGATCCTTTGTGATCGGATTCTATTGGATGTCAATGAACGTTATATCCTAAGGGATCCCTGAACGTGGCATTGCCTATTTGTTAGTCACCTGCAGTTAGCTTATGCAACTGTAATCAGTTTGGTTATAGTGGATTAAGTCCTTGCTTGAATAAGGCGAAATCACCTTGGAAGGGTGGGCTGGATTAGCTTGAGAGTTGCTCAAGTGAACCAGGATATATCATGTGTTCTTTACTTGTGTTATGCTTTATTATTTATGCTTCCGTAATGCATCGTATAGAACTCTATAGAAAGCAACAAGTGAAGAAACCCAGAAAAAGTTTTAATAGAGTAAATACCCAATTCAACCCCCCCTTTCTTGTGTATTTCTCACACCTTCAGTTGGTATCAGAGCTCAGGTTCTGTTATTAATGGATATCAAACACCTAACAGTGTCAGAAAAAGATCCTAAAGCTGTGTGAAGAAATACTCTTGGGAATTTTTCACTTCTCTTACAATTTCAGTCTCATATCAGTTTTTGAGGATGATGATTACTAAAATTGTAATCTATTGGGTTACCTTGAGCAAGTCACTGATTCAGTTTGAAGTTTGAAGATTTTCTACAATAAATCTTCTCCATTTTATCCTAGAAAAAGATTGAAGAATCAGCTGACAAGATAGACTCATCAGATAAGAAGATATATCTATTGAATGCTTATCTTTAAATACAATTGGATTTACAAGGTATTTGCTCAAAGCTTAAATCATCAGAAAGCAAGAAATCTTAATTGCTAAAGATTAATTCTATGTGAGTATGAGATGTTTTCAAGAAACGGCTTAGTCCACTCTTGACTTTCTCATGAAAAGCTCATTGAGATTTATCTTAAGTAAGAAAAGAAATATTGTTGGCTAATGAATTGGATTCATCAGAACTTCAGAATGCATTCTGCAGAAAAGGGCAAAGCAGAGAAAGTTCAGATCTGGAAGAAATGATTCTTCAGATTCAAAGCATCTAAAAGTTGTCTTTCCGTGAAGAGTGTCAAAGAAATCTGCAGAGGTTTCAAGAAAGGAAGTTTATTAACTCATCTGGATTATGATGAAAGATGAATCCTGAAGATCTTAATTGTTAAAGATTGGACAGTTAAGTTCTGTTAACTTGATAATTTTTATCTCAGTTGAACAAACTATAATTGGTCAATTGTCATCAGACATTATTCTCATAATCTTATAATGAATGATTCTTGAATCCAAGTTGTTTGGAAAGGTACAATGACAGAGGTCATTCAGTCTGGTTTAAAAAGGGATTTAAATCTCTGATGTTATTCAGTTTGAATAAATCAGTAGACATTCTTTTTCAGAAGCAGAGAAGATGAAGCCTGATGGAAGTTAGATGCTCTACTCATGAAGATCAGAATATTTGTGCTCTGAAGATGTCTCTCAGAAATCAGATGGATGATGTGTTGGTGAAGATTCTGCAGAATGCAACCAGAGGATATGAGATAAGTTCAAGAAAAGTTATTCAGAAGATCCTACTTCAGATGCTGTTACTGGTTCGTCTCACAAGATTCTGAAGAATCAGAGGCAAACACTGTTCCAGCTAAAGAATCAGAAGCTACCCCAGATGCCACTCCATTAGATGCTTCTGAAGAACCAACACTGAGAGGATCCTCCAGAATCAAATCTTCTCTTCCATAGGAGACATTTATTGGAAAGATGGATGATCCCAGAAGAACAAGATTCTCTCTCAATCCTCAAGGCTAGTCAGTAAGAAGGTTTTTACTACACAGAGACATATGCTTCTGTGACAAGGTTAGAACTTATAATCTTGTTAATTTCATTTGTTGCTCAGAATGACATCAATCTAAATCAGATGAATATTACAAATACTTCTTAAATGGTTTTATTGAAGAAAAAGTATGTGTTTCATTAATCTCCTGGTTTTGAAAATGAAAGATTTCCAGAACACGTTCTATAAATTAAAGAATTTTTCTATAGCCTAAAACAAGCTCCCAGAGCATTGGTATGAAAGACTGAGTAATTTTATTCTGGAAAATAATTTTATCAGAGAAAAGATTGATAACACTCTTTTTCATAAATCAATTAAGAAATATATTTTAATATGTCAGATTTATGTAGATGATATTTTTTTTGGAACAACAAGTATTAGACTTGGAAAGGAGTTGGCTAAGTGTATGCAGGCAAAAGCTGAAATAAGCACTCTGGGAAAAGAAGAGAAAACCTTGTCAAAAAAAACCC